ATAAAACATCATAATTATAAATCTTCATCCCCTTTTCTCTCCCTTCTCTCTTGCTTCTGTGTCCCTTCTCCAGCGCTGCGTTGTTTTTGCTCGGAAACCTTTTGAGCTTCCGAGGTTTTGATGCTTGAGCCGTTGGGCTTCCCGACCACTCAAGCATGTTGGAGCCGCCCTGTGCTCCCTCCTCCCACGACCCTTCCGTATCTGTCGGCTTTTGGGTTTCCTTTGGTGACCCCTTTGGCTTTCTTGTTTTTTCTTGTTGTTTTGTTTTACTTTGTGTTCTTGTATAGTTTATGTATTTCAGATCTGGCGACCCTCGGCTCTATCCTGCAAATCTTGTTAGGTGCTCACTGTTTTTGGTTTGCTTGCAGATTTGGCGGTGGTCCCCTCCATCCGACAGTTTCTATTGGTGGCGGTGCACGCGGGGATCCCAAATCTGGCAACCTCGCGACCCACTTGCTACCTCCAGGATCGGCCTTCGCCTGATCGGGACTCCACATCGACATCCTGGAGCCTGATGCACCTTCCACATGAGTAGATTGAAGGATGTCTCGTTTAGATCGCTCGACCAAAAGCCGCTGTATAACTTAGCCCTTAGTGATTGTTTGAGTGTCATGTGCACTTCCCTTCGACTTCTGAATATGGGTCTACTTTAGTTTCTTGTAGACCTGGCAATTTTTTACCCAACCCGTTAACCCGTCCGTTATCCACCCGTTTAAAACGGGTTAGGGTCAGATGTTTATGGCCCGTGACCCGTTAATAACCCGTTAACAGAACCCGACGGGTAATGGGTCAATAACGGGTTGACCCAACAGATTAACGGGTTTGACCCGTTTACCTATCTGAAAAGTAAATATTTTTTAATTTATTATTTATATATTTTATTTCCTAATTTTCAAATCTCAATCTCACCTAAATCCCTAATAAATAGCTAATTTTACTTAATTGGTTACTTCTCTCGGCTCACCATCTTCAAGAAGCCAAAAATATCCCAGGCTCCTAATGTCCCACCCCACCACTCATCATCTCAGTGATCTCACAACCTTTCTTGTTCTTCCTCTAATATTTTCAAAAACTCTAACTCTTCCAACTCTTAGATTCTCCAATCTGCAGCCTCCATAGTTCATACGGTATTTCTGCATGTTTCTGCAATTTTTCTGCACTTTTCTTGTCATGT